ACCAAGGACTCAATAGAAAGTAAATGTTCAGAAAATAATGATGGCAACATATGTACAAATATGCTTGATACAATTGATGTATGGATTGTTATAAAAGCTGTAAGAGCCCCCAATAAAATAATCTTTCAATGAAAAAAAAAATGCCAAAGGCAACAAACAAACAAACATGGCAGAGCTAGACCCGTAGATTAATGCCCCATCAACTACATCAATGTCCAATAAAAAATACAGATAAGCATTTTTTTGAAAATTTATGAAATTGTTTGCCTCCACCCCCCTGTTTTCCCACCTTTCGCAAATTAAGTTATTTCTGGATCTCTTACTGGTTCTGTGACAGAGATTTCTTCGCTGGCTTATTGATTATTGTTGGGGCTCTTTTCCTTCTTACGCATTATTAGTATTTTTGTCTGTATACTATTAAATTTTCACCTTTTCCACCTCAGTGCAATTTTGTTTGTAATTGTTTTCTGTTGGGTTTCCCAGGTGTGATGCATTAAGAGTGGATGTATAATTATAATAACAGATACGAGCAGATATAGGGAATAGAGGGGTGGGGCGGGGAGATAGGGAGAGGAAAGGGATTTGGGGAGTAACAATGAAGACAGGAAGGGGAGGGAGCACTAGAACTGATAGTTATTACATAAATCATCTTAAAGGCAATTTAACCTGGGGGGAGAATGCTCTAAAATTGATGTGGGGGTGACTGTACAATTCTCTGTGATATGATTGAACGATTGAATTATATGATATGTAAATTACTTGCCAATAAAACTGTTGGGGGGAAAAAACCAGGAAAGGAAAAAAAAAAGATTTTGCAGACAAAACTAAAAGTTATTTCTACCTTCATAAATAGGGGGGAAATGTGGTTTTAAACATCTGGAATTATGTACTATTCATAAATACCTCAGCAAATTTACTGGCAAATAGCATATGTGATCTCTGTGAGGAACTACAAATGAGAAACCATTTAATGTGACATAAGGAAGTAATTGTTTCAAATTTTACTGAGCACACAATAACAAGAACGTCAATTCCAAAAAGGGACTGCTGAAGAGGTCACTTGGCTACTTTCACATATATTTTGCAGACACTGAATTAAAAAAGTTATCAAATAAATGACTCTTATTTTTAATCATTTAATATTGGAAGATAGTTTATTTCTGACAAAAGGAAATACCACTTTCCAGATGTTAACAGTAAATGACTTTCAGCTGTTGCTTCCTAAAGGGCAATTTAGTTGGTTTATCTCATTCTCTTCTAGTAGTTTTCAAACAATTTCGTTAAAAAATCACTTTTGCTTCCAAAAGGAATTTTATCAATTCTTCAATTGCATTATTTCTCTCCAGGTTCCATTATAAATATTTCTTTTACATGCCCCATTTATCACACAGCTGTCTCTATTTCTGTACAACTTTCATTCTTCTAAAATTCATTAAATTGTTATTCCTATAACATATTCTAGATTATATCCAATTTCAAGTTATCATACAGCTTTACTTTTTTCCTGCTTTCTACATAAAGAGCTTTCAAAGGGCTCAAAACCTGCTATAATGCCAAAATTAACTTGTTTTTAATGCTGGTAAATCAGGTACATTTTCCAAACTTCTTTAATTCATAAGGTAACATTAACACATTTAGGTTCAAATAAATTCCACTAAATTCAAATGCAGTACAGTAGTTTTAGAGTTAATTTTTGTGCAATCCTTTGGGAATATTTGCACAAAACAGGGATTCAAGAAAAGAACAGTTCTCATACTTAATAATTAAAAGGAAAAAAATCACTAGTAATGAGATACCATCTCACCCTAACATCGATAGCAAAGTTCAGCAAAGCAGAAAACAAGTGCTGGGGGGGTGTTGAGAGACTGGCGGTCTCACACTGCTGGTGGGACTGTACGTCAGCGTAACCACGGTGGAAAGAGATATGGCTTCCTCCAGCAATTGGGATAATAAATGCCACATCTACTACGTGGTATATGCCCTACAGAAATAAGGAACACAGTCCAAACAAATGAATGCACACCCACGATCATCACAGAACTACTCATAGCAGCAAGAAGATGGAAACCACCTCAATGCCCATCCGGTGGAAGAATGGATAACAGTGAACTTTGGTGCATACGAAGAAACAAAGAATGACGGGAAAAGATGAACCACTTCTTGACCGGCACGAATTGGTAGGGCTTCATACGGAATGAAGCCAGTCAATCACAAAGGTTTTCATACCATAAGAAACAGGTGGTTTCCAGGGTCAGAGGGGAAGGAATAGGCTAGAGGGTACAGAGGCCTTCGCTTGGGTGAAGGGGGAGATGAGATCCTAACAGAGGGAAATGGGAGGGAAAAGGTCAAGGAGGGTTGAAAAGCTGTTCAATTGTGGAATGCAAAAATGATGATCTAGTATGTAAATGCAATAGTTGTTTTTTAAATCATCCAACTTTGAAGACATTTCCCATTTCCAAGAACACTTACCAATTCAGTGACAAGTGGGCGGGCATTTCCTATATAAGAAGCTAGCTGCCTCTGTTTCAAAGTATGCAAAGTATTTTCCCTAAAAGAAAACACAAACTTAAAAAAACTTCCTCAATATAGAAAGGAATTTTAATGTTAGCTTTTCTAACCTTAATTGCAGTTTCTCCTCAACATTTTATTATAAAGTTTCAAACAAGAGAGCAAAGTTAAAAGACTTTTATAGCCACCGCATAGATCCTACGATTAGCATTTTATTATGATGGTGCTTGGCTGCTAGCCGCTCTCAGGGAGAAAGATGCAGCAGTCGGCTCCCCAGAAGACATACAGCCTCGGAAACACCATAGGACAATTCTAAGTTCTCCAGATTGCTCAACTCGACAGCAACAGGCTTGTTCTGGTTTCATTACAAGAGTGATTCTAACCTCCTTGCATTTGAGTTGTGGTGCTGGAGAAGCATATTTCAAGCACCATGGGCTGCTAAAAGGACAAACTGGTCTGTACTGGAAGAAGTAAGGCCAGAGTGCTCCTTAGAGCCAAGGATGGCGTCTGTTTCACATATTTTGGACATATTGTCAGGAGAGACCAGTCCCCGAAGGACATCATGTTTGGTAAAGTGGATGGGCAGCGAGGAAGAGGAAGGCCCTCAACCAGATAGACTGACACAGTGGCTGCATGTGAAGATGGCACAGGACCATGCCATTAAAGCTTAATTTTCCGATATAAAATTCATATGAAATAATTTTAGAGGTTCATACATAGTAAAATGTACAAATCTGAAATGTACAGTTTGACAAATGCATATTCCCGTTTAATTCAAATCTCCACCAAGGCACAGCATTAGCATTATCTCAGAAAATTCCTTTATATTCATCCTCAGAAATCCCCATGTCTACCATACAAGAGGCAACCACTGTTCAGATTGCTGATTGTTCCAGTATTTCCCACAAGTAGAATCATTCAAAGTATATACTCTTTTGTAAATGATTTCTTTCAGTCACAACAAAAATTTTAAGATAATTAATTTTGTTGGCATATAGCAGTAACTCATTTATTTTTATTGTTAAACAGCAGACTATCACATAAATATATTTCCATTCACCTACTGTGTCTAGTTTTTGGCTACTAAAATAAAGTTGTATGTGAATATTCTTGTGTAAGTCCTTTTCATAAGCATATAGTTTCACTTGTCTTGGTTAAATATGTGGGAGTGAATCTTCTGGAAAATAGTTTAAGGTATAAGATTAGTTTTATATGAAACTAGCAGACCTTTTCCCAAAGTGTTTATCCCATTTGACATCCCCCTCTACCGACGCTATCCGAGAGTGCTACCTGCAACCCTGACGACATTTGGTGTTGTTGGTCCTTTTAATTTTAGCTATTCTGGTGGGTGTATAGTGCTACCATTGTGGTTTTAAGTGGCAATCATCAACCAGATGACAAATAATGTTGAGTATTTTTTCCTGTCCTTATTAGTCATTTATCTACATTCCACATCCTTATTAAGCATTACCAACCTCTGTCCTTGCATTTGCATAGCCCTTTTTACTGGGCTATCTTTTTAGTACTGAATTGTAGGTCTTGTGGAATCCCAGATACAAGTAATTTGTCAGACAAGTGTTGTGTGAGCAATTACTTCCAGTCTCTGGCTTCCCTTCACTCGTTTTCCTACTGGTGTCTTTTAATGAGTAAATTGTGATGAAGTCAAATCAACTTTTCTTTCCTAGTAATTGTATTTTATTACATAAGAAATATACACCCCAAGGAACAAAGACATTGTATGCTTTCTCCTAAAAGCTTTGTGATGCTAGCTTTTAAAATTTAGATGATAATCTGACTTGAATTAATTTTTGCTTGGCCCCGAATCAAGCAGGAACCTACACAAATGTCTTCCCATGGTCTGGGGGCCATTTCAGAACTTGGAAATGTAATGGTCAGTTGACTAGAAACATCTGAGAAAAAAGTAAACAAAACAATTTTGCATATGATGTGGAGGGATTAAAGCTAATCTTTTTGCATCCAAGTATTGTTTCTCAGCACGCTTTGGTGAACACACTCCTTTCCCCACTGGATCGCTTCAGTGCCATGTGAGAAGCCAAATGACCATAAAAGTGCAAGTCTATTTCGGGGTCCCTAGTCTGTTATTGATCAGTTAAAAAAAAAAAGTGAAGAACCAACAAAAATTTTGCAAAACCCCTACTATAGAGGGAAACTTTAGTTTTAAGGAGATTTTTTTCTGAAAGTAAAAAATTCTCTTTTACTCAAAAATATAACTACTCAAGATTTAATTTTTAACAACCACCGACCATTAATTTCCGAGTTAAGCAGAGAAAAGTTAGATTTGCTGCACAGGCTCTGTACGTATACAATGTTACTGAATGCAATGGTGATGTGAACTTTTTCCAGTCTGGAAATAAATCATTCCTGAGTTAGGATCAACTCGATGGCAGTGCGTTTGAATTATTTGAAGGGTGCGTCCAGGCTTTAAGGTCCTAGAACAACTTAAGGGTTATTTAAAGCTGTTGGGGTGGGGAGGAAGCACCTTCTTTTTAAAAAACAAAACAACACAACAGAATTACTACATACATAGCATATGTGTTTCCTTGATGATCAAATTATAATTTTACTTAGACTAAAACTCAAAATCCTTTCCTTGGCTCTCCTAGAACAGTCCCCTAACCCTGGCCTCCAGACACCAATGCTTCCCCTTCTCAGATAGTTGCAGTGTCTGCTACTGCCCAGAACACTGGTCCCCGGAGTTTTGCATGGCCTGCCTCTGGTTTCTCAAGAATATCTTCCTCTTACTTCCTCAGCAGGCCTTCTCTCTCTGCTTAGTCTCTTTAGTCTTGTTCACTGCCATTTTTCTACCCCCCCCCCAAAAGTTCTTGTACTCTGACAGGAAATACCTATTTGCTAACTCTTAAAACATTATAAAGCCCTCAAAAGTAAGGCCTTTATCCAATTTGCTCACCAGCTGAACAGTACCTGGAAACAGTACAAACTAAGTATCTGTTGAATGATGAATGAACAAACCAATATTAAAACTGCAAGAACAAAGTGTAGTGACTTACCAATAAACTGATTTTGCATAATATTCAATATTATCAGAAAAATCTCCAATCTCATCTTTGGCAATGCTCTCTAACCAATCTACCACCAGCTAGGAAAGAAAAACAAAGTTTCTGATTTCAGAATACTGTCCATTTTCTAATCACTATCTTAACTTTTTAAAATAAACAAATATCACAGCAAGAAAATGGACTTTTGTTAGAATTGGCATAGTTTTTGAGAGGTTATGCCAAGAAATATTATGGTTATTTTAAAATCTCAGAACAAGGTTCCTAATTCCTTTTATGTAACTGCTAAAAAAGCCTAATTAAAAATTAAGAAAATGCGCTTCTCGGCCTTTTGGCTAAGATCAAGTGTAAAAATTAAGAAAATGCTAATTAAAAATAAAAAAACTTTAGCTGTTATGCCATTAACTTTGTTTCCAAGCTTTATAAAAAAATAAACCCCCCAAATTAGAGTCATACCTGACTTTGTCGAACAAGTGAATCTCTCTGAAATAAAGCTTCCACAACTGCCTTTTCACTGGCATTAAGAGCCTATTTGGGGGAAAAAGTTATTTTTAAAAAGATGATATTCCAAGAGAGAATCTAAAGAAAGTATACTTTAGTCACCCATACATGAACATTTTACCACATGACAAATCTGATATTCATCTCTGAAAATATTCGTATACAGATTGACTAAGATTCATGTAAGATTTGACTAAGCTTACAACTTTAACTTTCCCAAATATATTGTTTCAAAGGAGACATAAAACAAAGGACTGGATACAGTCACATTACTTAATGACTAAGATTCATGTAAGATTTGACTAAGCTTACAACTTTAACTTTCCCAAATATATTGTTTCAAAGGAGACATGAAACAAAGGACTGACTACAGTCACATTATGTACTAAAGAAACGTTCCTTCTCTCCACAGTTGAAAGGCGATAAAGCTGCAGAGTAACCAGAGCAACTGAGATGGACTTCCAGGACCACTGAACACACAGAGGGGAGCAGCTTGCGAGGCCGCAGTGCCTGTGCTCTTGTAAGCTGCTGGCTCACTTCCCTGTGCGCAGTTTATGTGACCGCGCTTAGAGCGGTCATCTGACGGGGCAGCGACTCAAGTTCGGCCCTGCTGCTACCTGGGTTGCTTTTATTAACTCCTTAATAAAACTTATTACCATCGTGGAGTTTGCAGCATCTTCTCCTTTTCTGGGTACTTCAGGGCAAATTTCAAGTTACTAGTCTGTGCTCAGGCAATGGAAATGTTAGCAAATTTGACTAAGCAGTATATTAAAAAAAGTGATATAATCTGATCAAGTGTAAGCAGGGGTTAAATCTATCAATTCACTAATTTTATTAGTTGAGTACAGGCACTGGGCTGGTAACCAAGAGACTGGTGGTTCAAACCTCAGGAGAAAGGTGAAGCTGTCTGTTCCGGTAAAGATCTACAGCCCCGGAAATGCACACACAGTCACTAGGAGGAGGGGCACATATTGAATTGTGTGCTTTTTAGCCTTATCCTGTTAGGTATAGAGATGACTTTATTAGTGTTTTGTTAAACATTATGTATGGCTCAAGAGTTTGTGAGTTTATCTGGAATGGGTGTATGAAGTCATGAAGAGATTCAACTTTCATCAAATAGGTATTCATTTATTCCAACACCTTATATCAGAAGGGGCCATCTTTCACCAAATTATAATGCAATCCTACACTAAATCACATTTGTGTGTGGGTCTTTTGTTTTATTGGCTCATTCATTTAAAGCCAGTACTACACAATTTTACTAAGATAACTCAAATTTTTGGTATTTTTACTATTTTGGTATTATTTACTATTCTCATATTTTTTTTTCCCTTGGATGAACTTAACCATTTTTTAAAAAAAAATCTTATTGGGTATTTATTGAAATTATATTGAATTTGTCAGTTAATTTGTGTATAATTGACAAACTTTTCTATAGCAAGTCTTTCTGTCAGTTAATTTGTATATAATTGACAAACTTCTAAAGCAAGTCTTTCTGTTAGTGAACATGGCATAGTTCTCCACTTCCTCACGTCTTTCGTATTTTACATAGATCTTGTCTTCTCTGTAAAGTCCTATGTGAATCCTATTGGTGGATTATCTATTTTACTGAGTTGACTTCCTGAACTCATGACTCCAACAGGTTTCCTTTGATTCTGCAGGCTTTTCTTTGCAGCCAATCATCATCTGCAAATTCTCCTTAATCCTTGCCAGTCTGTGCACCCGGCATTTCTTGTACCTGCCTGGTTGCCTTTACTTGGAGCACCCATGCAGTGTCGAAGTATGTCAGTGATAGCAGTCATTCTTGTTGCTAAATTTTGATAAGAATGGTGCTCTTTTTCATCTTTACATTTGATGTTTTACTTCCTGTGCTTTAAGAATTTTTTTTCTTCTTGTAAGATGTTGGAATAGGTATTAGATGTAGTCAAATGTTGTGTGCCTTTGATTTACTAAATACGAGATTTCTAATACTGAATATCGGTGGGATAAACTCAGGTAGGTTTTTCTAATTATACTACTAAAATTTCATTAGCTAGTATTTTATTTGAGTTTTACTAAATGTGTGAGATTGTGTGTTATCCTCATTTAGATTTTGGTGTTTTGAATTAAGTCAACTCTTCAGAACAAGTTCAAAGCCTCTTATTTTTTTCTGTGCTGATTATAACAATAGGACTTATTCTTTGAAATCTTAGTAAAATATACTTATAAAACTATTAATATCAGATGTAAAATCTGCAAGGATGTTAATTTGAAAAGCAAGGATGTTCATTTGAGGTCTAAGGTGTGCCTGACACGAGCCATAGTATTTTCAATTGTCTCATATGCATGTGAAAATTGAACACTAAATAAGGAAGATTTTTAAAAATTGATGCATTTGAACTATGGTGTTGGCAAAAAATATTGAAAGTAGCACGAACTGCCAAAAGATCAAACAGACCTGCCTTTGAAGAAGTACATCCAGAATGTTACTCAGAGGCAAGGATGGCAACACTTCATCACACGTACTTTGAACATGCCATGAGGAGAGCAGCCCCCGGAGAAGGATGTCCTGCTTTGCAAAGTGTGGGGGCAGTGAAGACCCTCAGGAAGAGGGGTTGACAGTGGCTGCCACAATCGGCTCAAACATAAGAACACTGTGAGGATGATGCATTCTGTGAGGCTGTCCTTCTGTTGTACATAGGATTGTTGTGGGTTGGAACCAACTCAAAGGTACCTAACAACAGCGACCAGCTGTCCTTTGGGGGTTTGATGACATTTTATTTTTTGAATATAAAAGTATTTCTTGATGAAAGTAACTAAATATGAGGGGGCTTCAAGAGAAAATGGAGTTAGAAGTTCCTGGTGTTTGGCTGTCCGAGGGGACCTGCCTCCTGACACCACTGTCCCGTCACATGTTGCTGAAGAAGACCTTCCAGAAGTGCTGCACTTTAAGCAAAATGGGGAGCAGCAAAGGGTGGCCGACTCATCCAAGAACAACAGCACCCTACCAAAATCATGATGGAAGAAAGATACAAGGACAAGCAGCTGCTTCCTGCCCTGGATGAGGACAAGCCCACTGCTTGTCCCAGATTACATCAACATGTGTGACGTCATCAAAACAATTGGCTACAGCTGAACATCGGCCACGTTTCCTTCCTGCCAGTGAGTGGGAAGAGCATGGTTGGCGTCCTCACACTCATTCTGAAGTGTACGCAAGTGAGCAGGGTGAAGAAGAACTGTGTGAAAGGTCTATGCCTCAGGAGAGTGCGAAGTGAAATCAGCCCTGTAAAACTAGCAAAGGGCATCTGTTGTAGATTCAGAATATATATATATTAGATCATTTTATCGAGGGCTCTTACAGCTCTTATAACAATCTATACATCAATTGTATCAAGCATATGTGTACTGTTCTAGAATTTTGACCCCCGTACAAGCATCTGTCTCATCTCATCGCTGCAGTTCTGTTCCCATCTAACAGCTGCAGGGCATTTTTTTTGTATTTTAAGCAATAAAGCCAGGCTCTGTGTGAGCACCTTCAGCTTCAGAAAACCATTATTTCACTTGCTTACAAATTTTACAAGTTTAAAGAGAGAATATTTTGTATTTTAATTTGTCAGTAAAATAGACTTTGATGCTCTTTATTATTCTTTTTTTCCCAGGAGGTACTTGCAACGTGAGCAGTGACTAATGCCCTTTGGAGAGACAGTCTTTGTAGGGTCAAAGAGCTTCCCTTTGAGGAGGCTTCCCCTCCACTAGAGAGGTCTCCTCAAGAGCATGTTTAAAAAAGCACATGATCTTAAGCAGAATACTCTAAACTCAATTGCCCTGTAGCCGCCCCAAAGCCCCTCTTTTGCAATTAAGGAAGTTTACTAAACGCCAAGCTTTTTCTTCTTTGGTTCTCTCGACAGTTAGATGCAGAAAACCACACAGCTTACTAGGAATCTCAGACAGCTGACGCCCATCATAGTAAACAAAAAGCGATTACAGCTGTGATCAGATGAAAATGAAAACGCCTGCTTGACAGATTCCCTCTTAAACACAGTTAATGGCTAATATCTTTAACATGTGCACCAGGAAATAAGAAACAATAGAAAAGTAAGACATATGAATAGATGATCCATTTAAGAAATATAAATGGATTAGAATGAAAAATTCTCCACCTCATAAATGGTCAACAATATGCATATTAAAGAAATGAAGCATGTACCATCCAAGCTGGCAAAAACTGTATGATGCGACAATACCCATCAGAATAAAGCTGGTACAGTCGTCTAGCAATAACCAAGGATGAAGAGGATGGAGCGCAGGGGCTCTAAGCCCAGATAGAGGGTAAAGAGGCAGGAGGACCAGAGGACAGGGAACAACCACCCACACAGGAATGAGCGGGAACTCCAACGCACTGTGAAAAATGTCACCAACATCACTGGACAGTCTACAGTGATAGTAACTATTAAATAAGTGGGAAGCAAGTTTGCTACGTAAACTTTCCCTGAAAAAAAAGTATGAGGAAGAATGTTACTACACTAATTGCTACAGCAAATATGCTGGAAAAATCTACATGTGCCCAGCAGAATGTCTGAAAAAACAGCAGCACATTAGTCCTCTGGTATACGATGAAAAAAAAAAAGAGTATAAATCAATATGAATGAAATGGGGAAAAAACACAAAGAAATATTAATGAATGTGAAAAGGAATTCAGTGTAATCTAAAAGGAGGCTTCAAAGTTGAAAAAAAAAAGAATGAAAATATAATGGAATTTTTCCAGAAACTTTTTTGAGCTCCCTCATAAAAATGCAATAATACAATAAATTAAAAAGGCAAAGTACCTGTGTGTGTGCATATAAAAGTGCACAGAAAAATCTCATAGGATACATACCAACTGGTTATCACAGTAACAGGAATAAGACTTTTACCTTTAATTTGTAAGTCCATACTTAATTTATTTTATGGGATTATATCTTACTTTAAAAACTTTTTCAATGATGGGACTTTAGATGAAAAGTTAAACATTATCACTGAAAGAAATTCCCTATGATTTTTAATCACCACTACAGGAAAATGAGCCCTGGAAGCACAATGGGTTAAAAATTGGCTGCTAACCGAGATGTCAGCAGTTCAAGTCCACTAGATGCCCTGTGGGACAAAGATGAGGCAGTCTGTGTCCATAAGGATCTACAGCCTCACAAATCCTATGGAGCAGCTATATTTTGCCCTGTAGCATTGCTCTGGGTAGGAATCAATTCATGACAGTGGGTTTGGTTTTAGTTTTATTTGGTGACTAAAGAAAATTTAAAAATAAACTTACAGTTACTGCAAACATATTTTCATCCTCTAAAGCACACTGTATTCTGTCTCTGGGGGAAAGAATAAAACAAAAAAGCTTCATTTCATATGAGCATATGGAAACACCTTTTAAGTTAAGTGGATGCACAAGCCTGCATTCTATTCAGTGAAAACAATAGGTTTCCAATTAACATAGCCACCACACTTTAAAAGCAAAATACAATAGTAAATGCTTGCTGAATCTGCTAGTAACACCTGAACAAACCTGGAACTTGATAAAACAAAGTACAATGCAAAATAAAATAATCCCTATAGTTAAATGATTCATTTAGTCTTCTTGATAATGGACACACTCCCACTGCCTAAGAAACAAACAAAAACCTTTTAGTTCTTGGTAAACTAATAGCAAATTAGTTCATAAACAGCAATATTCATACACAAATTGTCTCGTGACACTGGCTGCGTCCTTGTTCCGAGTCCTCAGCGTGCTCTTATTCCCACCCTGGGTTCCCCATGTTTATTCCTCAGGTTTCCACGACTCTCACTGCCTTCTCATCTTTACTTCTGGGCAGCCATCGCCCTCTTGCTCTCATACAATTGATTGTTCTAAGGTCCAAATTGCTCACAGGTGTTAATGTTTTATAGGCCAGTCTATTATGTGGTTGAGAAGTGGCCACCAGGAGTGGCTTGGGGTCCAAATGATTCAGTCTGGGGGGGTCCCTGTAGTTTCTATCAGATCACTAAGACTGCTCTTCCTTATAAACAGAATTCTGCTCTACATTCTCATTCTAACATGCTGTGACCTTGGTGTCAGCAGCTGGTCATGGTAGCTGGACACCATCTAGTTCTGGTCTCCGGCGAGAGAAGCCTGTGTTGCATATGTGCATTTAGTCTTTGGAACTAACTACTTCCTTGAGGAGTTTTTGGTTTTCTTCACTCTCCTTTCTGCTCTGGGCAGGAAAAGACCAATAACTACCTTAGATGGCCACTCACAAGCTATTAGGAAGAAACTAAGATACAGAACATTATTCTTATAAACTGTTATGCAAATTGACCTAGAAGTCTCTAAAATTATAGTCCTCAGACTTCAATCCCCATAACTCAATTCCAGATTTGGTTTTGCCCATGAAGTTTCTATAACTATAGTCCCTATGTGCTGCTCTATTATACATATGGAGATTCATGGAGCACTTATAAACACGTATGTAGAAATATCCTCAACCATACCTATATATGCAAGTGGGCGTACTTTTACATGCACTCCCACATCTATACCTTTGCATCCATTCATAAATTGCTTATTACTATTGTTGTAGAGGAGCCCTGATAGCATAGTGGTTATGATCTGGGCAACCGACTCCAAGAGCAGCAGTTGAAAATCCCCAGCTATCCCATGGGAAAAAGAGCTTTCTGCTCCTGTAAAGAGCTAGTCCTGAACGCGTGAACAGGGCTAGTTCTCCCTATAGGGCCGCTATGAGTCAGTATCAGTGAGATGGCAGTAAGAATTGGTTTTTGTACTGTTGCAAGATTATATATGCTAAAAGAATATATTGTAATTGTCCGTTATTCTTGCACCCCTGAGTGCCTTCCTTTATCACGGTCAAGCTATACTGACTCTACCCACAGAGTGTACTGTCTTTCCCTTCATCAGAATGAACACGTCCACTACCTAGCTGGCTATTCTGCTCTCATCCCTGGTTACCACCAAAGAATGTTTCCTGGTGTAAATCTGTTCTTCATCTTTTGTAGTATCACACACCATTAGTCCTTTTGTTAGTGACTTACTTCACCCACTATGTGACTTACTTCACCCACTATCATGCCCCCCAGATGCATCCACATTGTGAGACGTGTCACAGATTCATTACTATTCTTCATTGTTGGGCAGTGCTCCGTTGCATGTACGAGGGGGCTTCGAAAAGATTTTGAAAAAAAAAAGCAAAGTAATGGGATTTTGCCACAAACTTTTTGATGCCATCTCGTATAATTATCCACTGGTAGACCCATCTGCGACTGTAAACAATGCTGCGGTGTGTGCATGTCCATTTGTATCACAGCGCTCATTTCTCCAGACTACATACGGGCAAGTGAAAAGGATTGCTATCAGGGTTCCAGTTCACACATGCATGAGTTTACACCAAACAAGACATGTTTGAACATGTTCTGCGATCTGGATAGCTGTAGACAAATTCTTTCAGGAATCTGTGTCAGTCTCATTAAGGCGTGTTGGAAAGAAGGTCCAATCAAAATAGCGGCTGTCAAGGGATCTTTGGCACTGGTGAACTTCAAGTCAGAGAAGTCAGCTCAGAAGGTTGTGGTGACCATTTTCTGGAATTTCTAAAGGGGCAATCTTAGATTGTCTCAAGACACAAAGCAATCACAAGGACTTATTAAGAAGTTTTAAGAAAATTGAAAACTACAACAGTGAGAAAAGGCCAGGCAGTCTGTGCCAAGGCATTCTTTTCCATGAAGACAATGACAATGCGCCTGCTCATTCTTCAAGGGTGGCAGGCACTGCCCTATAAAAATGGCATTGGGAAACTTTATCTCGTCCACCTGACTGCCCTGATCTTCCCCTTCAGAATTTATTGGTTTCCAGAACTAAAAGAACATTTCCAGGCAACATGATTCGAGTCCCTGGTGTATGCCAAACTACAGTTTTGATGGGGATAAGTAAAAGAGTACAGAATTCTTCAAGGAAGGGTTAGAGAGATGGAAACACTGTCTTTCGAAATGCATAGACCCAGAGGGAGGACACATCAAGAAACAATAGCTTCACATTTGGTATTTTTGTTTAATGCAAGTTTGTAAGATTTAGTAGCAATACTTTGGTCTTATACTCATATACTTGGAAGTCGTATTGCTGGCTGGCAGAGTATTTCTACTTCTAGACTTTGAAGGAAGACCATACTGCTTTTCATAGTGGCCAGAACACTTCTGCAGTCTCGTAACCATGGTGTAAGAATTCCAATTTCCCAACAGCCTCTCAAGTACTTGTTCTTTTGGTTAGTGCCATTATTCCCAGGGCGAAGTCTAACTTTCTACTGCTGGAGTGAGGTTTCACTTTAAAAAAA